TTCATCTTTGGAATACATAAAACCCCGTTTTAAAAGATTACAGCCTCATGATCTATGAGCAGATTCCTTCAATCCCAGGTGTGCTCTTTGGTAAATGCATGGTTTTGCATTTATTAGTTAATTTCTTCTAGTATGAGGAGGAAGTTGGGAAACGGGCCAGGCTGAGGGACCCCCCCCTTCCCCCTGAGTGCACAAATTTTTGTGCACCGGGCCTCTAGTTCTTTTAATAAGCATTTGCTACATATCTCTGAATACAGTTGGCTGTAGTGGGAAGAAAACAAGTTCGCTTAGAGTCAGACAGGATTAATTTGCAGTCCTAATTCTGCCATCAGTTAGCGCTTGTTCTCTTGCACTTGGACACGTTGCTACTTCAACAAATCAGGCTCATCTGACCCTCAGTTTCCTCTTCTGTAAAGTGCATAATACCTGTCTTACAAAGGTTTGTGAGCATTTACTACGTCAGCTGTCTAGCATATTACAGAGCTTGATAAATGGCAGCTGTTTTCATTATACAAGCATTTATGCAGCATCTTTTGTGGCACTCTATGGAAGTGTTGGGGTGACAGAATATGTCTGCCTGGAGTATCAGCAATACACTTCTAATATATTGGCTATGGTAAGCTTTGGAATAAAGGCACACATTGGAAATGTATGGCATTTTCATTGTTACCAAAAAAAGCTGCTTAATTTTTTAAAAAATTCCATTTGATTCCTCGGTTTTGTATTTTTTCAACTGCCTTTTCAAAATAATCTCAATATTCTAGTTACACTATGGGTGAGATGTCACTAATAAGTGGCAGATGCCGGATAGGAACCAGGTATATAACAGTCTTTGTTTATGTTACTGTTGGGGTAACCATAGAATTTTTCTACCAAACCAGAGCAAAATGTGTGAAAATTATGCTGGAATAACAAGTAGAAACCTGGACTTGTTTATATACATAGGATGTTTGACGCTCCTAATTATAGCTAGGATAAACAATTTGAGGTCGGGTCTAAGACTTCTGGAGTATTTTAGTTAAACCCATATACCCACCTTCAAATTTTTTTTGCATGATTATTGATTTTGCCATAGTAAATGAATTGATGTTAGATCTGAAAAAGCACTTATGAATACCACAAGTAATCTAATGGTTTTAAAATACTAACCATAATGCATGTTTATTTTTATATTTTACCTTTTTTCTTAATTCCCTGAAAACCCAGCAAGCTTTTCAAAGAGAATGGAATAGGTAAATGAATAAGCTTTTAATTGTTGCTCATGTCCAATGAGCTTTGTAAACGAAGTCCAAGATGAAAATCATGATATTCCCAAGTTTTTTCTTTGGGAAGGCAAAGTGTGTATGATACTAAAAATCAGATATGTTTTTAATCAGCTCTTTTTAATTGCCTGTCTCTAGCAATCGCTCACTCATCTTTCTTGTTCCTATTGCTTAATGTCTCTAAGCTTCCTGTGATTTTATTTAGGGAAGTGCAAAACTAACCACATGATAAAAATTCAGGTGATCAAAGTTTTTACAAAAGAGGCACCAGTCTTGTGGAATGAATGTGGGTTTTCATAACAGACAAACCAAGGTTTGAAATTCTGGCTCGCCCCTCTGCCGTGTGCCCTTGCAAATGACTTAACTAACCTCTCTGAGCCCCAGTTTCCTTGCACTGCGGTGTGGGAATTAGAGAACACATTGAACGTGCCTGGCACATAGTAGGTGACGTACTGATGGCAATTATAATTATATGACATAAGCTTACTTTTATGAAGTTGTAGTCATAATCTCACCACTAATCTCGTTTTGCATTCAAACGTTCACAGCTCCCTTTAATGGGTTTTCATTTAATCGTTCCCTCTCCCTCTCGATTCAACCGAATCTAGAGGATTAGTGGTTGGCAGCAGCAACCTTTTAATAGGACAGAAAGTGGGCCCTCTCCCCAGGTTTCAGTAAGTTGCCTGTCACCACCACCCCTGACCTCCAAACTGCCACGGGTGCACCCCCCGCCCCACTAACATCCAAGTCGCCTGTGTGAAGGAGTGATTTGTTGCGGCCTCTAACTGCTTCTCTTCCTTCCTTTTTGTCATCCTGCAGTGTTCTGTGCCAAGGTCTTTGTGGCTAGGCTGCGCCAACCTGGTAGAGAGCATGTGCGCACTGAGTTGCCTGCAGAGCATGCCCAGTGTCAGATGTCTCCAGGTGCCTCTCTTCTTTCTTGTTGTAAATGTGTTTTTACGTATGCCATGAACATTTGTTGAAACTTGCAGTAGTGTGTTTAAGCCAATGTTAAGTCTGCTAAATGTTCTGTGTAACCCTCTGCTTTCCTCCAGCCTGGGTGCCCCGCATGGAGGAGTTAGGACCCAGAGGGGCCCTTCTGAGCAAATGGGTCTGGGCCGGGCCCTGTTCTGCTCCTCTTTTTCTGCTCCTGCTTTTAATTCTTACCCCCTCCCTTGAAGTTGTGATTCTCATGTTTAACAGTTGTGCATGTGCCCAAAAAACCCTGACATTTCCCATTTGGCTACTTTTAACAGCTCTTTGTTCAATCGGGAGGGTTTTATAATTAAAATGGTGGATTTTCTATTTTGAAACGCATCCTTTTGGCTTGCTTTCTCTCCCTCCTTCAAAAAAGGAGTGGGGGAGAGAATCACTAATGGTAGAAAGCCTCAAATTGAAGTTTACAAAGATCACAGCTTTATGCTGCCAGCAACTGTCAGTGTGGGCCACTTCCCAAGGCCAGATCTGACACCTGTCCTCTGTCCACCCAGCGTTCCAGGCCGAGGCCGGCAGAGAATTCCACAGATAAAAGTCAAACTTTTTGGGGGGAGCGGGGAGGGGTTGCTCAGGAAAAAAAACAAAACTGTTTGCAGGAGTGCAGCCTGACTGAGCTCAGTATTGGGACTGATTCTCAGAGTGCCAGGCAGAAGACATTGTGGCTTCCCTGGGGAAGCTCTGGTTAGAGAAAGCATGTGTTTAATTAAGTATGGTTTCAATGGCAGTATTCCGTTTTCATCACTGCATATTCCAGACAGTTTGATATATCTTTAAAACGCATTATTAAATTCCTGGCATCCTGGTGAGACTGCCCTGTTTCAGGGAAATAGTAAAATCCGCAAGTGAGCTAGAGGGATATGATTAATGGCAGGGGTGACTTGACTGTTCTCAAGGTTATCTTTCTATTCATGTTCGGTCTTTAAATGGAACTGGGGAGCCAGGAAGGAGGAACCCTTCCTTTATATTGGGATTGTGCATTTTATTTACTTGTTGGCAAACGTTCTGATTAGCATTTGTGTGGTTATTGATTCAAATCGCTTTTTGTAGAAAACGGTACCGCAATTTCACTAACACATTAACCAGAGAGTGGATTCGATATAAGATCCAGTTGTCTTAGAGTCTATATGAAAAGGTGGGCTATAACTCGTAGGGTCCAAGGACTGGGTGTTTCAGTGAGGCTGCGTGGTAATGAATATTTATCTGTGGAAAAGCAGCTTCTCTGCATGCAATAGTGCATGTGCTCTTCCTTGGTGCTGAATAATGGACATTTGCATTAGAGTAATAGTGTACATCTTTGTCTCTATTTTTTTCCTGAAAAATGCTTATTACTTGAATGTTACAATTGCTTTTTAGTAGGGGTAGAAATTTAAGAAGGGGGAGAATTGTGGTTGTGAGGTTTGGAAGTGCAGAAACTTTTTTTGCTCAGTTAAAAGTAATATTCAACAAAGAACGGAAACATCACTCAGTATATTTTGAACAGTGTTGGGAATTCTCACGGTGGGGGGTGAGTGGGAGGAAGTATGGGTTCCTAC